ACCGTAAATAAAAAGGTTTACTGTTATTTAGTTTGGTTCAAAACCTACAAAATCTTTATTGCTTTCACTGTAATTTATTTTTTTATTATTTAGGGAGCATCATAGATAGTTATGTTTTTAAAAGAAAAAAAAACTACTATTGTTATAAATAACACATTCAATTGAACTAAACTATGCATGCCTATTTAAATATATTTATACATGGCTTGTGTATATACATATATATTATTCATACCTTTGGTGTATAGGACGCAAGCAGATTTTGACATCAAATTTTGGGGTAAAAAAGTGCGTCTTATACACCCGAAAAATACGGTAATTTATAAGGAGAACAATTGTAGAAAATGCGTACATACACTACCACCTCTTATAAATTGGAAATGACTTGGCCAACCTCTAAGAACTTCTGATACGATTGGTTTCAAAAATTTTCACAAGAAGCATGGAGTCACTTAAGTGATAAAGTGAGCTATAGATAGTGCTTTAAGCGTTACGTTCAAAGCTTGACCATGCTAATATAATGCAAGCATGAAATTAGAAAATAAAGAAATACTAATATCGCTGGTTTGATCATCTTCCACCAGGGGCACTGCTTGTAAGAAATTATTAACCTCTTCATTTCATTTAACAGGAAATTGACTGTGGGTACAACATGTTATAACCATTTATAGCTTTCAAATCCAAGAATGATTCTTAAACATATTAATCTTTTGCGCCCCCCCCAAAAAAAAAGCAAAAAAACAACAACAAACAAACACGCTAATGTAATAAGTTAACAATGTTCCACTTTGCCAACATTTAATTAACATTGTCTGGTCCTACGTAAAAAATGTAAAATAAATTATAATAACTATATATACTCATCAATGAAGAAAATTCGTATACGATGAACTTTCATAAATGTACTTATTTAAGTTTTATTATATTAAAAATATCAACATTAGCTAAGTTTAGGGAAAACTTTGAACACGGTTTCATGCCTTGTGCATGAAAAAAAAAATCTATGTGTATACATTCCATGGTATACATTTATATCGTAATGCCCAACGCCGTATTAAGCTTCTAATTCAATTGTTCGTAACTCGTTGAGCTAGCATATGCCATAATACAGTCTAGTCATTAAGAAACAAGATTGGTTACGTCCAAACACAAAAATCGCGTACATTTCTATAAGATTGAAAACTCAATAAATAAATAAATAAAACCTTTAGATTATAATCACTAGAAGGCATCGTACATTAATAATTCACGAAGTGCCGGTTTTCAATAATCGTACGTTGTCTGAGCTTTCATGTATAAGGCGTGGAAGTCACGTACAAATAAGAACGCCAAAAATATTTATTGCAGAAGTTGCGTTCCCTCAGAGGTAGTAAGAATCCTGAACTACTTAACTCTCTACACCATCTCCAAATTAATAAATAACGTACTACACAAAAACGTACGGATAAATAAAACATAAGAGCTTTCACTTGCTAAAAAAAAATAGATTTTTAATTGTTTAGTGCAAAGCCATTCTATGGGGTATCTGTAGCCTACCCACCGCGGGTATCGAAACCTGATTTTTAGCGTTATAAGCCTTCAGACTTACCACCGAGCCACCGGGGACTCAAGAGAATATAAATGATTTCACGAAATGTATTTTTCGAATGCACGTATTAATGAGAAAAAAATAATTAGAGAGTATTTTCTATAAACTATCACTTGTTTTCAATATTCGTTTCATGAATATTTGAGATTGTTATTTAAGTATTAAAGAAGAATTTCCATACCTATTACTGATACTTGAATAATATTTGTAATTATTTTTCTAACGCATTTATTAATGAGTGAGAATAGTTTGTTTTTTAAATTTCGCGCAAAGCTCCACGAGGGCTATCTGCGCTAGCCGTCCCTAATTTAGCAGTGTAAGACTAGAGGGAAGGCAGC